CCAAGAACTAATAAAGTGTTTTGGGTCAATTGTACTTAAGTCATAGAGAAAAAGATCAGATTTGTGGTTACCAGAGGTGAAGGATGAGGATTGGTGTGATTGGACTGTTGTTCAGTTGCTAAGTTGTGTCCACTTCTCTGTGATCCCATGGACTGCAGCACGCCAGGGCCCCACTGTCCTTCACTATCTCCTGGAGTTTGCTGAAATCTGTGCCCACTGAATTGGTGATGCTTTTTAACCGTCTCATCCTCCGCCCCCTTCTCCTTTTCCCTTCAATCTTTCCCAGCATCAGGGAAAGATGACTTTTCCAATGAGTCAACTCTTTGCATCAGGTGGCCAGATCAGGTGAGCTTCAGCATCAGTCCTTCCAGTGAATATTCAGGGTTGATTTCCTTTAGTATCGACTGGTTTCATCTCCTTGCTGTCCAAGGGACTTTTTTTTTTTCTTCCCAAGGGACTCTGAAGAGTCTTCTCCAGCACTACAATTGGAAAGCATCAATTCTTTGACACTCGGCCTTCTTTATGGTCCAGCTCTTACAGCTGTACATGACTACTGGAAAAACCGTAGCTTTGACTATATGGACCTTTGTCAGCAAAGTGATGTCTCTGCTTTTTAATACACTGTCTAGGTTTGTCATAGCTTTCCTTCCAAGGAGCAAGCCTCTTTTAATATCATGGCTGCAGTCACTGTCTGCAGTGATTTTGGAGCCCAAGAAAATAAAAACTGTCACTGCTTCCATTTTTTCCCCTTCTGTTTGCCATGAAGTGATTGGATTGGATGCCGTGATCTTAGTGATTGGTTGAAGGTGGTCAAAAGGTACAAACTTCTACTTATAAGTCCCAGGGATGTAATGTACAATGTGACAACATTCTGTATGATATATGTAAGTTAAGAGTAAATCCTCAGTTCTTACCACAAGGATAAAACTTTTTTTCTATTTCTTTAATGTTTTATCTAAATGAAATGATATTCACTAAACTTATCGTGGTAATCATTTCATGATGTAGATAAGTCAAATTATTATACACCTTAATATATGTATGTAAATTCCATCTGAATAGAATTGGAAGAAAAATAATTAAAATTATACCCAAATAAATATCCCAGCATTTTTAAAATAAACTTTTAGAATGCTTTTAGATTTATGAAAAATTAAGCAGATGGTACAGTGTTCTCATAACCCCAGACCTAGTTTCCCATTATTAACATTTTACAACAATATGGTACATTTATCATAATATGTATATTAACTAAAGTCCATAGTTTATTCAGATTTCCTTAGTTTCCCTATTTCTATCCCAGGATCCCATTCAGGATACCATATTGCATTTAGTCATCACGTGTTCCTAGGCTTCTCTTGGCTGTGAAAGTTTCTCAGACTTTCCTTGTTTCTGATGACCTCAATAGTTTTGAGGAGCATTGGTCAGGGATTTTACAGAATGTCTTTTGGGACTTGTCAGATGTTTTCCCTTTGACTAGACTGAGGTTATGTGTTTTGGGAGAAAGACCACATGCCATTTTCTTCATACCAAGGATACATGCTCTCAAGATGACATCATTTAGCTGAGGTAGTGTCTGCCAACTTTCTCCACTGAGGTACTCTTTCCCCTGTCTACATTGTATGTACACTGGAATGAAGTCACTATTTGATTTAAGCACATGCTTAACGGATGGAGATTTATGCTTCACCTCCTTGATGGCAGGTTTTCTATAGAAACTACTTGGACTTGTATATGGAAGATTTCCATTTTTTCCCATTTATTTATATCAGTACGAACTTATGGATAGTTCATACTTTGGGTTATAATCCAGTACCACTTTGTTTCTCTAATTGTTCTTGCTTTGGCCATTCAAAGCTTCTTCACTTGGCTTCTATGTCCCTTTGATATAACTTCATCTTTGATCATTGTTTTTGAGCACTTCCTTACTGTCTCGCACTCCAGTGTTCTCTAGGCACTTGTTCATTTTCTGCCTCAGTCCTAGAGTCAGCTACTTCAGGAGCTTCAAGATCAGTCCTTTCAGTGAATATTCAGGACTGATTTCCCTTAGGATTGACTGGCTTGATCTCCTTGCAGTCCAAGGGACTCTAAAGTAGTCTTCTCCAACACCACAGTTCAAAAGTGTCAGTTCTTTGGCACTCAGCTTGCTTTATGGTCCAACTCTCACATCTGTACGTGACTACTGGAAAAGCCATAGCTTTGACTTAGATGGACCTTTGTCAGCAAAGTAATGTCTCTACTTTTTAATATGCTATCTAGGTTTGTCATAGCTTTTCTTCCAAGGAGTGTGTTTTAATTTCATGTCTGCAGTCACCGTCTGCAGTGATTCTGGAGCCCAAGAAAATCTGCCAGTTTCCATTTTCCCCCCATCTAATAGCCATGAAGTAATGGGACCAGATCCATGATCTTAGTTTTTTGAATGTTGAGTTTTAAGCCAGCTTTTTCATTCTCCACTTTCACCTTCTTCAAAAGGTTCTTTAGTTCCTCTTTGCTTTCTGCCATTAGAGTGGTGGTATCTGCATATCTGAGGTTGTTGAATATTTCTCCCAGCAATCTTGATTCCAGCTTGTGATTCATCTAGCTCGGCATTATGCATGATGTACCCTGCATATAAGCTGGTGACAATGTGTAGCCTTGACATACTCCTTTCCCAATCTTTAACCAGTCCATTGTTCCATGTCCAGTTCTGTTGCTTCTTGACTTGTATACAGGTTTCTCAGGAGTCAGATAAGGTGTTCTGGTATTCCCATATTTTTAAGGATTTTTCACAATTTGTTGTGATCCATACAGTCAAAGGCTTTTGCATAGTCAGTGAAGCATTTTTCTAGAATTCTCTTGCTTTTCCAACAAATGTTGGCAATTTGATCTCCGGTTCCTCTGCCTTTTCCAAATCCAGCTTGTACATCTGGAAGTTCTTAGTTCACTTAATGTTGAAGCCTAGCTTGAAGGATTTTGAACATTTTGAGAACATTAGTCTCCATGTTTTTCTTTTGCTGTCCCCCCCCCCCCCCCACCCCCCTTATAGTTGGATTTCTAGTCTCATAGCATTGTGGGTCAGAAGAGATACTTGCTATGATTTCAGTTTTCTTAAATTTCAGGGCTTCGCTGGTGGCTCAGATGGTAAAGAATCTGCCTATAATGTGGGAGACTGGGTTTGATCCCTGGGTTGGGAAGATCCCCTGGAGAAGGGAACAGCTACCCACTCCAGTATTCTTCCCTGGAGAATCCCATGGACAGAGGAGCATGGTGGGCTACAGTCCATGGGGTTGCAGTCAGACATGATTTACCAGCAACCCTTGGTTTATGATTATCCTGGAGAATGTTCCATATGTACTTGAGTGTATATTTTGCTGCTTTTGGGTGGGATGTTATATATAAAAACATGGAAGCAACCCACGTATCCATCAATAGATAAATGGATCAAGATATGGAATATAACAATGGAACATTACTCAGCCCTAAGAATGAAGTTTTGCCATTTGCAACAACGTGGATGAACCTGCACTTAAATATTCATTGGGCGAACAATATATATTGGATATCATTCCTTGTTGACTCATAGATCTAACCCTGGGTTTTCTGAAGGCTGTGTGATATTCCATGGTTAACAGCTAACTTGTTGAGGGGCATGCAGGTTATTTCCAATCGTTTGCTAACAATAGTGCAGCAGGATTGTGTCTGTGAACATGTGGGAGGATTTCACCAAAGTGAAGTGCTTGGTTGGTCAAAGGGTATGGATGTTTAAAAATGTCATTGAGCATGTACTTGTTATGTTGCTTCAGTTGTGTCCGACTCTTTGTGACCCTGTGAACTGTAGCCCACCAGGCCCTTCTATCCATGGGATTCTCCAGGCAATACTGGAGTGGGTTGCCATGTCCTCCTCCAGGGGATCTTCCCAACTCAGGGGTCAAACCTGCATCTCTTACTTCTCCTGCACTGGCAGGCAGGTTCTTGACCACTAGCACCACCTGGGAAGCCCTTAAAAATGTTATATTGTCAAACTGCCCTCTGGATGTTGGGTCAATTTATATTTTTATGATCAGCATGAGCTGCTTCCTAACACCAGCTGCAGAAGAGAGATCATCAAAGTTTGATCTTTGCTAATCATGTGAGAGGGACTTCCGGGGTGGCTCCAGTGCAGATGTGGGTTGATCCCTAGGTCAGGAAGATCCCCCGAAGGAAATGGCTACCCACTCCAGTATTCTTGCCTGGAAAATCCCATGGACAGAGGAGCCTGGCAGGCTGCAGTCCATGGAGGTCAGAGTCAGACATGACTTAGTGACTCAACAATTAACTCCAGAGAGGTATATTCTACCCCCAAGTTTACATTTTTATCTGATCAGTTTATCACTCATCTGGGATTTTGTGTTATGCTTTTCATTTCCATGTTTGCTCCTGTTCCCCCCCCCCCCCCCCCCCCCCCCGGTACTTTTGTATTAAAACAAACAACTTGGACTTGCAGACAGGCATAATGAACCCCTCCATATATAACAAACATTCAAGCATTACTTAAATGAAATTGCTCTCCCTCCCTCCTGGAACCACTGATGACTCACTTCCTGTCCCTGTGGCTGGTGCCTTTGAACTTGTAACTGATCTGTTCTGATCCACAAAGGTGAGAAGCTTGCACTGAGTGAACCCATCACCTGGCTGTTTAGCTTTCTGTGCTCTGGACTTTATCATCAGGGAAGCTAGTGCACATGCCTTAGCGTAAAGAGTTTGATACGGCTATGGACTTACCTGGTTGTTCAGTGGTTAAGGCTGTGCTTCCAATGCAGGGGACATAGGTTTGATCCCTGGTTGGGAAACTAAGATCCTGCATGCTGGGCAGCGTGGCCAATAAAAATAGACTGACATGGTTTTTGTTTTGTGTATCTTAAATTTAATATACACTGTACTTGATATTAGCTCTTGATGCCTGGTTTATTAAGTTTCATTGATGCAGTGATCTCAACATATCTCAAGTATACTTACTCATTTTCCTACTGTTGGTCATTTAGGTCATTTCCAGTGCTTTTAGAAGCATCCTACTATGGCTCTTCCAGCAGTGAGGAATTCTCTAAGGTAAGGACCTGCCAGGTTATATGTTAACAGCATCTGTAAATTTACCAAATTGCTCTGCAATATAAGGATGGCCCAGTCTCTTCTCCCCATCCTTGGTATTAGAAGACCCATCTGTGAATTTATATAAATTCTTTTGTTTATATCACTTGGCCATTTTTCTTTGGGGGTGTAACTTAGTTTTTCAGGTCTTTTGATCCATTTGAGCATAAGGGAGACATGGTCTTTTTTTCCCCAGAATAAACACTGACAAAATGGATAGCCCAGCTTTCACATACTAAAGATGCCACCTTTCTCAGATAATGCATTTAATGATTATAGCTTTATTGCTGAGGTTTGGTACTGCTTCCTTGCTACTCTTACATATTTTAATCATTTTTATTAGAATCAGTCTAGTATCAAAATGCATGACTTGTGTACATTCATACGTTCCTAAACGTGAGGGGTTCTCATTGATCCAGGATGACCACTGCTCCCTTTTGTTTACCCCTAGGCATTTATTTTCCCTTCTTTTGTCTGACTGTGGTGACTCTCCAGACCAGCACTAAGTTGTGGGCAATGGTAGATGGTGAGCGTGATTCTGGAAGCCAACACTTCTGGGACATCAAAATAGATGTTAAGTCAAATATTGCCCCCCACCCCACCCCCCAAGTCTTTCTTCCCCATATATGTAAGGTTAATTTCAGTTACTTAAAAAATGAGTATAGTGGAGTTACTTAGTTCTTTTCTGTATCTAGTGGGAACGTACAGAATTTTAATTTTGATATGAGTATTACAAGCATCTCTCCATCACTATAGTTCCCAAGCTGCTGACAGCTTTTAAATCATGTTAATTACCTGTGAAAACCCCACTGATGACACACATGCTTCCTCATACCTGAGGCAGTAGAGCCAGGGCAGGAATGTTTTATAGCTCTCATGTCACACAAGCAGACCTTCTACCCCTCTGCTCTCCTCCTGGCAGAGAGTCAGCAGGAACTTCCTGTCCCTTTGGTCTGCCCAAGGGCACAACTGCTCAGGTGCCAGGGCCAGAGGCCCTCAGCGCACACCACCCACCTGCGCCTCCCGCAGAACAGTCCACACCACGCTGCAAACTTATCGTAGAATAGATTTATTTACCTGAAACCATGTCTGTGCAATGCTTGTTACCAGCACAGAAATAAACTGATCTCTATTTACAGTCTAAAGTCAAACATGCGTTGTGATAAACTGACATTTAGCATTTTATTGATATAAATGCATCACAATAATTCATATTGCACCAACATCTGTCTACTGCTTCTGATTTCATTAAATAAGTTACATTTAATACAGTGCAAAATAGCTGTTTGCACACTCAGGAAAATAACTGAAGTTATGAACTGGAAGCCTACATTTTTAACCATTCAACACCTGTAGTGTTTTCAATAAATTTATAAATAAGCAAACTGTACAGGGCCAATTAAAAAGTAGCATGTTTCAATGACACCATAGAGAAATCTGGCTACTTACAACTGAAGGCATGCATTACAATTGAATATTGTACATTTATTTAAGCTATGATATTTTGCACAGAGAAATACGGAGACTTGGCTGATGGCTTCTAAGTTCTTGGATAAGGTTTCAGAACCTCATTCTTCTTGCAGCAAAGAAACCAGACTTCTCTGGAGAGGCTTTCTGATTCATTAAGTTAAATTGTACATTTGTTACTATTTTGATTCAAAAACTAAAACCCCACCGGTAATACACGTTTCCTCCACATAATACACAACAAGTTGGGGACTTTTTTCTAATTTTCTTTTCCCCCCAACATCAATCATGCAGAGGGCTGGTAGATGTGTTGCTAAAAAATGCACATGCACGCAACCGAACACCCTTAAATTTCTGCAAAATGGTTTAGGAAGCGGTTACTCCAGTATTGCTGAAAAGGAAAGAGAGAGGAAATCAGCTTTATGAAATATGGGGAGGAAATGTTAGAATAACTAATTTAAGACTGGGATTAATAGTGACAGATGAAAAGGAATGTTCAGTTTGATCTTTTAAGATTTCTGACCAGCATTTCTGATTAACTCACAGGCCCCTCCTGTCATTTGGCTACAGAGTATCCCACCAGGCAGACACTTAATCGCTTCAGGTTTAATAGAAGTTGAGAAAGTCCTTGGTTAGCAGTGCAGGGGGTGAGGAAGGCCAAGCAGAGTGAGCAGTATGGTAATCAGCGCCAAGCCTCTAGCTCCCATCCCTTCCTTCCCTTGGGACCAGCCTCTGGGCTGCAGGCCCAGCCAGGCCCAGTTGTAGAAGGGGAACTGCTTATCACTGTTCCCTTTCAAGAAAAAAGGCTACAGATTACCCTCAATTGTTAACTGCTGGGTGGTGGTTTTTCAGTGTGCTGTATGCACACTGTGAACACAGTGGGCCTGGCAGACACTGAGCTGAGGCTTGTGGTCTCAGATATTCCTGAGGTCTGCCCACCACATGGACATTCGGGGGTCTGAGCCCCAGTCTGAGGTACGTGGAAGCAGCCACTTGTGAGGGAAGGTGGCAGCTGCCCTGCTTGTGTCTGAGCTCGTGCAGCTCTTCCTACCCGGCGTGCCACCCGCTCTATGTAGATGCAGAATGAGTTGCTGGCATGGCACCCCATTTAGGGAACATGTAAGAGTGCCATCTCCTGGGCAAAGGAAAGAGGTCAGCCTGGGTATGGGGTGGCAAAAAACAGAACACTGAGGGGATGGGCCTTCAGCCCACTTGCTGACAGGAAGGAGCCTGGAGCAAGTTTCAGGCAGGAGCTGCCTGGGAGCCCATGTGCAGTAAGGGCGAGGCTGACACTGCCTTCCTTGCAGGTACCTGGTGAGGATGGTTGGACTCCTGCTCCCCGCAAGTCAGGGGCCAGGGATGTGCCCACAGCAGCACCAGCTACCGAGGAAGTGCCAGTGCAGACATGGTTTTTGGCGGCAAAGCCTGAAGCAGAGCAGCTAAGGGGCTCTGTAGCACCGGGTCTCCCCTACTCCCAGCTGTCTGGGTTGAGAAAAGTGGGTGCCCAAACCACCTGTGGGCTGGACAGGCCTGAAGCTGAGAAACCACAGGGCAACAGCCACCCATGCCATTCACTTTCTTTTGTAAAGGCCAATAAATCAAGGAATTGAGTCAGGAAAAGTTGACCATTGAATAGCACCCCACCCAACAAGCTCAGACATCCTGGTTTGGTTTGCAGCCAAGACACACTCCTTGCATTTGATCTGCTCAACTTGTTTCTTTCTGCAATTCATAATGCTAAAGTTGGCAAAACGTACCTCCTATATTCTCTGCCAAGCAAACCAGCTTCCCTTCCCTCTGAGGCCTCAGGGAGCCAGACCAGGACTCTGCGTTAAGAATCTGTCTCCATGTGCCCTTTCTACCCCCCATACACGGAAACCTCTTAAACTTGGCAGCACCCTGTTCTGCTTGATACCTGTTAACTTTCCTCATACTCTCAGCATTTACATGTTATTCAGGTGGCCCTGTATTCGGGACTTCAGGTACTCACGAGAACACCGGGGGCTTCATGTGGAGGGAGCTACCAGCATGAATATGTACTGCCTAGGCCCTTCACTTTGGCTAATGCTCAGCTATGGTCCAGTAACTGCTTTAAGGTACCGCGGAGAGAAAAGACAAGTCTTTGCTACAAAGGATATAACCCAGAAGGTGGAAAAAGATGGCCAACTTAAAAATGAACCAGGGAATCCCCAGTAAACCAGTGGTTAGGACTCTGCTCTCACTGCTGGAGCCCTACTTCAATTTCAGGAACTAAGATCCTGCAAGCCGTGTGCTGTGGCTGGGTGGGGAGAACAAAATGATGCAGGAGTTTACTGGTTCAGTTACTTGCTTTCACTTGTTTTTTGCTTTTTAATGATCCAGGTAGCAAGATTTCGGGACCAGTCCTTGCCGCTAACAAAGATCAAAGAAAAGTTTTTCTGTGAATCCCCATCAGTCTGACCAAAGCAGAACTACTCTGTCTTCCCCCAGGTCCTCCCTGACCCCTGGCTGTGCCACTGGCCAAGGCAGTGGGCGGGGCCTAGAGCAGCTGCTCCAGCCCACAGGTGGTGTATCGTGTACCTGCTCCTCTCAGGGCGCCTGACTCATCAGTGTCTATATAGCCAGCTCACTTAGTGGCAGTCACCTTTAGGCTAAAGCATCCAAATTCCAGGGAATACTCACGTTAGTTGATGGATGTTGGAAGGCATTGGAGGAAAACACCACAGTTAGGACTGTTAATGACTTATACACTGTTGGTAAGACTGATCTCGAACATGCGCAAACATTTATCATAGTAACAATGGGGTGGTTAGTGCCACATTCAAATAAAAATAGTTCTATACAATATGTTCATTTGGTCATGTGCTATTTACAGATTTTACAAAACACACACACACACACACACACACACGCCCTTATGTCCTCTACACCAGGCTAAAATAGGCCAGCAGAAACTTGCATAAAAATGTATCACAGATGACAATTAGTGCCTATACACCAAAAATAAAATTCCTACAACGACCTGTGCAGCAGAACAGGATCCTTCTTGCCCTTGAGCACAGTAAATAATTCTGAGCTAGGAAGAATCTAAGAGAACTAAGCCACTTGATAGTTAAAAACAAGACGGTTATTTTTCTCTGTCCATTTAAAATGTTTTATTTTTCTTTTTAAACTAGATTGTGAAGTGCCACTGAAATAGGCAATGTTGGCAAAACAATGTCTGTTACAATAAAATACATTAGACATTTAAATAAATAACCTTAAAAACTATGTGAGGGGACATGAACCCAGTCGATTGAATCTGGAACAATGTTTTCTGCACAAGCGAGAACAAGCATACCTCTTGTTAAGACTGATGTAAACAGAACCATCAAAACCCTACAGGAGAAGCAGCCGAGCGGGGTGGGGGTGGGGGTGGAGGTGAACACAGGACTGAGGGGTGAAGGAGGTGGCAAACCAAAAAATACTGACTGAGGTAGCAGTACTCTGCTCAGTGCAGAAAAATTGGCTTATGA